TCTATCTATCTATCTATCTATCTATCTATCTATCTATCTATCTATCTCAGAGTTTCCCTTGTAGTCCTGGCTGTCCTGGAACTCCAAGATCTGCCGGCCTCGGGCTCCCAAGTGCTGGCATTAAATGTGTGTGCCACCACCTGTCTTGTTTCACTTCTTTAGGGCCTACAAAGCTGGGAGATGGGCCTAAGGCCTCAAAAGACTAGCGAAGCTATATTCCCAGCCCTGACTTCTTTATTTTCCTCTTTTTGAAAGCGGGACTCTGTGGCTCCTTGAAGAGAAGCACCTGTGTCCGTCTCTGCAGCGCTGGGATCACTAGCTTCAACCGTTTTCTTTCTTTAATTAACTTTCTCTCTTTGTGCTGTTGTCCTCAGCAGTGTCAGGTTAGTTTTACTCAAATAACAGTCGCTCAACAAACAAATACCCTGTGTCCTCTCTGGACCTGTGGGCTGTGTGGGCACAAATTGGCCTCTTGGGAAGTTTTCACCCTGTGGAAACTAAGCACCCCAGGGAGGACTCTGTGGAAAGAAAGTGGAGAAAGGAAGAAACCCGGTAGCAGCACAGAGAGCTCTCCTGGCCTGAGAGCCTGAGATGAGGCTCAAGAACCTCAATGAGAACCACACTGGCTTGCAAAGGAGAATGCAGCCAGGGCATTGTCCAAACCAAGCACAAAAGAGGACAAAGAATAGGTTTTGCTCAACCAGTGCTTTGTCACCACATGCCTGTAAAATGAGGCTGAGTGTGGCTAGTGGTGGCTCAGGCCTATAATTCCAGTTCTTGGGAGGCTAAGGGAAAAGGAATGTGGGAATTCTAGGCCTGGGCTACAGTGTGAGACCCAGTCTCCAAAACCAGAAAGAAACGTGCCAGGCGGTGGTGGTGCACGCCTTTAATCCCAGCACTCTGGAGGCAGAGGCAGGCAGCTCTGTTGGGTTTGAGGCCAGCCTGGTCTACACTGCGAGTTTCAGGACAGCCAGGGCTACGCAGGGAAACCCTGTCTCAGACAAAAAAAGAAAAAAAAGAAGAATCTTAGGTAGTGGAGGTGTGTTTTTTTGGGTTGTGGAGGAGGGGGAAGTAGTTGTTATTTTTAACTGTTTTTAGATTGCACTATGCATGTATAAATGTTTTTGCCTGCATGAATGTTTGTGTATCTGTTGACTGGTGCTCTCAGAATCAGAAGATGGCTTTGGAATCCCCCAGAACTGGGGTTATGGATCATGAGTTACCTTGTGAGTGCTGGGAACTGAACCCTCTGCAAGGACAAGACATTCTCTAAACCCCTGAGCCATCTCCCCTGCCCCTGTGGCCCGGGCTAGCCTGGAACTTGCTCTGTAGAGGGTGGCTGTACTCTTCCTTGGAGTGACTGGGATTACATGCTCTGAATCACATGTAGCCTGTGGTAGAGAGACACTGCGCCAGCCTGGCACTGGGAGGAAGGAGAACAGCCTTTCCTGAGGGATGGGTTGTTCTTCCCCAGACCTCCTCCTGTAGCTGTCAGAGGTAACAGCCCTTCTTCAGTGCGCGGCTGGCCTCTTCAGCTCGAGGCTGATTAGAGGTCAGCACAGTTACAGAGAAGCAGCTGGCTCTCCATCACCCTTCTCCAGCTGCAGCTGCTTGTCTCCGGACTCAGAGTCAGAAAATTACAGGAGATATGCTACATGACTGAACCCTAAATTGTTCACAGGACGAAGCTTTGTGTACTAGTCAGTGAGATGGGTTGTTTGGGAGTGTGGGAGTCAGACTACAGTGGGGAACAGAAATTTCTGGAGACTAGACTTTTCTTTTCTTTTTTTTTTTTTTTAAGGCTTTTGAGACAGGGTATCAATGTGTAACCTTGGGTGGCTTAGAACTGGCTTTGTAGACCAGGCTGGTTTAAAATTCAGACGTCCTCCTGTCTCTGTCTTCTGAGTGCTGGATTAAAGGTGGTACCACTGTGACCAGAGAATTTTATCTATTTATTTATTTTTGAGACAATCTCTCTGTTATGTAGCTCTGGCTGGCCTTGAACTCACAGAGATGTGCTGTGCTGGGATTTTCAAATTGTACGTATATGTATGTCTGTGCACCTGAAAGGACAGATCCCATAGAGCTATAGGCAGTTATAGGCGACGAGTGCTGTGACTTCAGCTCAGGTCCTTTAGGAGAGCAGCCAGTGCCCTTGCTGAACCATCTTTGAAACCCCTGCTGTCCTTTTGTTGACAAGCAGTCTGGGCTCTCCTCTCTCTAACCTGCGCACTTGCTCCGTCCTGAGACACAAGAACCTAGACACTTACCCTTCATGTGGCCTGTGGTGGCGCTGGGACTGACCTGCCACCAGCTGCTGTTGGAAGTAATAAGGGCCAGAGCTGAGACCAGAAGTGCTTCATCAGCAGACCCTTCCCCTGCTCCCCCCTTTCCTGTATTTAATCCTAAAATTTGCTGGGCCTGGTGGCTCATGTCTATAATCTCAGATGAATTAGAATTCCTGGACACTTCATTTGTTCTTTTCAGTGAGGTAATTTAAATCCCTTCTCTGTGTGGTCTGTGTGCAAACCAAACCATGGAGAGACTAGCCCGTTGTGTCACCCTGGCTTCATTTTTTTTCCTTTTTGCTTTTTCGAGACAGGGCTTCTCTATAGCCCTGGCTGTCCTGGAACTCACGCTGTAGCCCAGTCTGGCCTCGAACTCATAGAAATCCACCTGCCTCCCCTCCCAACTGCTGGGCTTAAAGGTGTGCGCCACCACAGACCCTAATTTCCTTGAAGCATTCCCTCAAGCACCTGCAGCTAGGTTGGCTACTAGTCCGCCCCAGGGATCCCTCTGTATTCACTCCTCCCAGCGCGGCCATATCCCACTTTTTATATTGTGCTGCGATTTGAACCCAGGCCCACACGCTTGTACACTAAACCCTACAGGCCATCTCTAATAGCCCCTACTCCTTACTTTAATTGACATGTTGAGACAGGTGGCTGAGTCTGGCTTTTGGGATCGAAAGGTCCCAATTTTTGCGTTAAACTCAAGCTCCAAACCCAGCCAGCCCAGCGCAGACACTCGGGTGACTTGCATTTCTGCTCAAAGCTACCGAGGGGATCGTTCTAGCCGCGGGCACCTTTGTTCGGGTCACTTTCCCAAAGAAGACGTGGCAGAGCACCCCTCCCCAAAGAGGCCAGGCCTCGGAGGGGCTTCCCAAAGCTTCCTTCGGAAGCAAGGGTTAACAGGACGCGACTGGCGCCCCACAGGCCAGCCACAAAAGTCTTATTGTTCTCCAGCCTGTCCCCTCCCCCTCTTCCTGGAAGACCCTCCCAGGAGCCCCTTCAAAGGGGCCCCGCGCGCTCTCCGGGCCAGCCCTCGGGGAGGGCAAACAGGAAAAGGAAACTCGGCAGCCTGGCCCGGGCCGGGGGGTGGGGAACGGCTGTCACAGCAGGGTCCCGGGGAGCTGAGAAGTTGGAGGAGCCCTCCCCCAGCTCCCATCTGGAAGCCAGAAGGTTTTGGTCTGTGGCTTTCAGGTACCCGGGAGAACCTGTCCTCTCCCTTCCCCCGCCGTACATCTGTGAGTCCGAAAGCTTCGCGCCTCGTCTACAGTTCGACTTGAGGTCTTTGCTCCAGAGATCTGGAAGCCTTTTCTGATCTGCTGATCCGGCGGGGCGGCCTGGGCTCGTGGGTGGGCTCAGGGAAAGAACTGTGAGCGTCTCTTCGAGCCCCGGAGACCCGCAGGGCTAGGGCGAGCAGCTGGCGGCCAGATGTGAGTGGACCGACCAGGGAGGAAATTAATTGGTGCCAGTTGGGTGGCGGCGGGATGGAAAGGCAGGGCGCTGGGGGAGGGGTCTGAGTGCCCAGATTCTTAGCCGGGAGGAGGGGCGGCTCTGGGGCCCGCAGGCCAGGAAACTGAAGGCTGTAGAAAAACAAGGGGCGCAGGGAGGAGCCGTGAACGGAGCAGTAGGCTCCTGGAAGGCAGAAAGCACAACGTGTAAGGACTTAGCTTCCCTAAATGCGATTTTGAGGAGACTTAACCTCAGCTTAACAGGCGACTGGGTAAACTCTGTAGGCGAGTGTGGGCACAGCCTTCCCCGGACATAGCTGTGACATTCTGGGGTCCTCCAGGTGTAGGCAGGAGCGTTAGCAGCCTTCAACGCCACGCGGGACATCTGAACCCACGCTCCTGCCAAGCACGTCCGTTTCACCTTTGGCTAGGCCTCCAGATCCTTCATCCCGCGCTGCGACAGAGCCCGCTCTCGAGACCTTGTGGCACGCTGGGAAGTGGGGAATCCCCGGGCCGTCGCGGGGAGAGGCCAAGAGTTCCCAGAAGGCGCAGGTCACTGCACGCAGGGGCGAGGTCTGAACGTCCCACCCCGTCTCTGGTTGACGTAATCGGCCCCTAGGGCTGTCGGCTGGCTACCGAGCTCCGGAACTCCGCCTTCTGACTCGTTTCCTCCCAGGCTCCACCCTGCAGTCTCTCTGCCTCAAGCCAGTGGACCTTGTCAGAGTCCAAGACCCCTGGAAACCGGTCTGGACACTTCCTGCTTCACACTAGTCACAACTTGTGGCCTGGCACCTCCCAGGCTTCAGAAGCTGCCACCTGCCTATTGAATCCTGCAGAGCAGGGGAGGCGGATTGTGTCTGTTCCCTTGCTTTTTTGCAAGGAGATCCTACCACGGCCTTAGTTTCCTCATCTATTAAGAAAACAGCCGGGTGGTGGTGGCACACGCCTTTAATCCCAGCCCTCCCTTGGGAGGCAGAGGCAGGTGGATCTCAGCGCGTTACAAGCCTGCCTGGTCTAGCCAGGGATAGAGAGATAGAAATATAGAGAGATAAACAAACAAACAAACAAACAAAAAGATAAGATCTTAAATAAAGATAAGATCGAAGCACGTGCTGCTATTGGTAGACTTGTGTTCATCTCACAACACCTAATTTCAGTTCCAGAGATCTGAGGTCGCGCTGACTTGTGAGAACTCTGGCAAGCAAGCAGTGCACATATACCCAGGCACACAGACACACATGAAACAATAACGAAAATGAACATACTAGGAAAGCTGAGGCAGAAGGAACCAGGTTTCAAGGCCTGTTTATGCTACATGGCCGGTTCAAAGCCATCCTGGTAATCTTTAAAATTACCTTAAAGTTCATAAAAACAAATCTTTCAAAGCAGACATCCATCCATCCTTTGAGATCAAAGCCAAGATCTCAAAAAGTAAAATAAAATAAGGAGACTGGGGGGCTGGGGGTGTAGTTGAGTTGCAGATCCTGGGTTCTCTCCCTGGTGCCTCCGTGAACATTAAGAGCTGAGTGTGGGCCAGATGTGAGGCTCAGGGTAAAGTGCTTGCTTGCCTAGCACACCTGCGCTTATAATCCTAGAACCTAGGAAGCAGAGACGGGGGATAACAAATTGAAGTTCATCATAAACTACATATAGTGAACCTGAAGCCACTCTGGGCCACATGAAACCCTATTTCAAACACAAAACAAAAAGACCCCGGAGGAGTTGAGAGCCCACTTAAAATCTGCCAAGGTAGGTAGATTTTTGCTAAGTACAGAGCCAACTTGATTATTACAAGGAGTTCTAGGTCAGTTGGAGGCCTGCGTGAGATTTTGTTTTAAAAACAGCCACCACAACAAAAACACTAAACAAACCAAGTGAAGTGACCCAGAAGGGAGAGTCATACTGATCTCTGTGACCTCATAGCTGGAGATCCTGTTTAAAAAAAAAAAAAAGAAACACAATAAACACCCAAGAAAACATAAAAGGGACCAATCTCAGAGATGCACATGGGTCATTCATTAATTCACCAAAAACAACTTTGCATTCTGAGATGAAAAGATAATTTTTTTAAAAAAGATTTATTTTTATCTTTTTCAAGACAGCATTTTTCTGTGTAGTCTTGGCTGTCTGGGACCCACTTTGTAGACCAGGCTGGCCTCAAATTCACAGAGGTCTGCCTGCCTCTGCCTCCCTGAGTGCTGGGATTACAGGCATGTGCCACCGTGCAGGCTGGCTACCTGCTTTCAACCAGGTGAAAGAGGAGGGATCACAGGACAGTGTTGAGGCAGCACTGCTCAGATGATGCTGAAAAAGTATCCCCCGTGAGGGGCACCTGTGAGGCTGGAAGAACAGTTCAGGTCATCCTGGGCTGCGCATTTTCAGGCCCATGCTATATGAGATCCTGTTGCAAAAAAGGAAAAGGGGTTGGTTCAACTAGGTGGCTCAGTTTCTAAGACAGGAGTTTCCTGCTGGTCGGTGTGGTGCACACCTTTAATCCCTGAACTAGGGAGGCAGAGGCAGGCAGACCTGAGAGTTCAGGGCCAGCCTGGTCTACATATTGAGTTCCAGGATGGCTGGGGCACTGCCACACCCCCAAATAATTATTTGTATGTACACTTACGTGTGAGGGCATGTGATAGAAGACAAGGTGGAGTCAATCCTCTCTCCTCCTGCTCTTCAGGTCCCAGTGATGGAACTCAGGTGCTTAGGCTTGCTGCCAGATTCCCTTGCCTGAGGGATGGCTAGTAGCCATCCTACTAGGCCTATAAAAAGTAAGATAAACTCCCTGCATTCAGGGAGGCAGAGGCAGGTGGATTGCTGTGAGTTTGAGGCCAGCCTGGTCTACAAAGCAAGTGTAGGACAGCCAAGGCTACATAGAAAAACCCAGTCTTGAAAAACAAACAAAGATGAACTTTAAAAATTAAAAGCAGGGGCTGGCGAGATGGCTCAGCCATTAAGGGCACTGACTGCTCTTCCAGAGGACCAAGATTCCATTCCCAGCACTGACATGGCAGCTCATCACTGTCCGTAACTGCAGCTCCAGAGGATCTGATACCTTCATACAGACACACATGGAGGCAAAACACCAAATGTACATAAAAATAAAATAAAAGCAGGGGCTGGAGAGATGGCTCAGCTGTCAAGAGCAGTAGCTGCTTTACAGAAGACCAGAGTTCAATTCCTGGAATTACCACAGCTGCTCACAGCCATTTATAACTTGTGTCGTAGGGCTCTATCTCATGGCCTCTTTCGGCTTCTGAGGACACCAGGTGCATGTGTGACGGCACACGTACATACAGGCAGGCAATACACTCACACACATAGACTGAATCTTTAAAATTACCTTAAAGTTCATAAAAACAAATCTTTCAAAGCAGACATCCATCCAGACCCTGGAGCACACATGTCCATAGCACATTCACAACAATCACAACTAGAGATGACCTCAGTGCCCTCGAGCAGGGAGATGGGTAACAAACGAGGAACTTGCACACAAGAAAGCTGTGAAAGCATAGAAGAGAAAAGCGGTTCTTTTATGTGCTGTGACACTGAAGAAACTGGAAGACATGATGTGGACAGAGCCTAACATAAAACGGTTACATTGTGAATTATTCCACTCACGAGTTGTCTACAGTAGGCACAGAGCAGACTCTCTGTGAAGGGAGGCTGGAGAGAGAAGGAATGAAAGGGTGCTGATGGTGTGGAGAGATCTTGAAATTAGTAAGGGTAATGGATGTTATCACTTTTTGATTGTACAGTTTGGGTCTGAATGGAGTTGGGTCAGGCCACAGAGTGCTCACATGTAGGAGATCCCGCCTGAATTCCATTCCCAGATGGAGCACATTAACCACAGAACCTGGGAAGGTAGAGGCAGGAGGCTCAGCTCCAGGCCATCCATCCAGAGAGCCCCTGGACAGCCTGGGGCTCAGGAGAGGCATCTCCAAAAACAACCCAATAGGCACACACTTTACCTCCACAGTGGAGAAATACAAAGGCCCTGCACTGCAACCAGCGGGCTGATTCCTGACCTTGTATACACAAGTTTTGGGGTTTGTTTTGCTGATTGATTTTTGAGACAGGGTTTCTCTGTTTAACAGCTCTGGCCATCCTGGAATACACCCCATAGACCAGGCTGGCCTCCAGCTCACAGAGATCCACCTGCCTCTGCCTCCCGGGTAACCAGGATCAAAGGCAAGGGGCCACCACAGCCGGGCTTGTTTTGTTTTTTGGTGGATGGAACCCAAGCTCAGCACCTCTCTCAGTAGTACTGCTGGCTTTAGAGTCAAGGGTGTTTATTGATCAGGGTGACCTTTTCAGGACCCTTTGTAAGCTGGCAGTTTTTCTCAAAGGGCACTCATTTAGTATTCCCTCAGTAATAACAGGGCTTTGGGTCCTTAGAACAGGTCTCATGGAATCTAGGTTGGCCCCAAACTATGGAGCTAAAAATGACCTTGGACTTCCGGGGCCACCTCATCTGCCCTCTTTAATTTATGAGACACACTGTGTAGCCCAGGCTGGATTTGAGTTTACTAGTCCTCCCGCCTCAGCTTCTCAACTGTTGGGAGTACAGGCTCCAGTTGTGACAAATTCTCATGTAGCTCATTCCCTCCTAAGAGAATGTGTGCACGTGCTGGGGACTTGGTTTTAGTCTCTACCCCACAGTGGTTTCACACCGGAAGCGGAGTCCTAGCGGGGGTCGGACTAGCCACTTCCCGGGGAAGGAAGGGCCCAGCGGTTCCCGGGACAGGATGTGCACCGAAGCCCACTCCCTAGCCATCAGGGACTTCCCAGGCCTGGCCATTGGATCCTGTGTGCCCAAGGTCCCTTGAGAAATCCAGGGTCTAGACTCAACGGGCAGCACTGATCCTCCCCGTTTCCAACGAACAATCAGTTCATGGAGAGGCTCTTGTGGGGAGACCGGCAGTCAGCCTGCCGCGCCACTGCAGTCCCCTCCTCCAGCTCTCCGCCCTGGGGTCAAGAGAGGCCCGAGGGGGCGGGGACAGCGCTTTCCTGGAGCCTCCCGCACCTGCGCTTCCTTTGTCCTGAGGAACTCCGGCTCCCCCCTAGTTTCGCCCCCAGGTTAAGCCTAAAGCCTGTCGGAAACCGAAGTGAGAGAAATTAGTTTACTATATTCTGGTTGGATAGCCCAAAGCAGGTCGGGATTAAGACTAAGGCTTGTGTGGACGTGGACTTGGAACTACAGAAACTAGCCTGGCTTCTAACTCAGAGATCCACCTGTTTCTGCCTTCTTGCTGGGATCTAAAGGCGCACCACCCTGCCTGGCTGCAACAACAAAAACCTAAAAACCGGTTATGGGCTTGTTTCTTGGACTGCTCTACACACTGAGCTCTGTTGGATTAGTCTTGAACCACCGTGCTGGGCAGGCAGTGTGAGCATTATAAAAACCCAAGCGTGCTGGGGAAGCGGTTTCCAGGCCCATGTATTTTTCTTTCTTTTTTACAAGGCAGGGTTTCTCTGTGTCCTGGAACTCAACTCAGAGGCCCACCTCTGCCTCCCCAGTGCTGGGATTAAGGCGTTGGCCGCTGCGCCCGGCTCAGGCTCTTCTCGGAAGACAGGTGACTGATTCACCCGGGCCACACAGCACTTAACATTCCCCAGCTTCTCTGGAAGCACTGTGCTGTAAACTGAAGTCTCCACACTGCCCTCCGGAGCTAACCTCTACGGAACCCCCAAATCAAAGGGTTAGCTTAAGCAACCTAAAGCAAAGAAATCGGGCCCGGCCCCCTTCCCGCTCGGCACCCGGTCAAACCAGTTCCCGAGGCTTAGGGAGCGGCCGCCAGCAACTGACCCCTTAACCCTGCCCCTCCCCCACCAGGGAAGCAAGCCAGACGGCAGCGCGGTTCACTCCGACGGTCTTTATTTTCGTAACTGACAAAAGCTAAAACGTCAGGCAGATGGGCGTTAGACACAACCCACCACCACAAAAGTAAACAGACTTTCTTAAACACGCTGGCAAGAAATTTCCTTTCCTGCCCGAAGAGGTCGTGTCCACCACAGCAACTGCGACCGGCCGCCCACCCTTCCCGAGGTGGTCCACGCCAGGCGATCAGTCTGGGCTGCCGGGTCCGGGGGTCTCAGGCACTCCACCCCGGACTGCTGAAAGATTTGCTTGGTCCAGTTCAGGCTCTCAGCCGAAGGCCGGCTCATCCACAGCAGCCTGTGGGGGCGAGGTGACTCAAGTAACTTCCCAGTCCCTAGGGCGGGTCCACACCCTGGCCTCCTCCCAGGCCCCACACCCACGCACGGCAACAGGAAGCACCAGCGTCTGTCCCATGACGCAACTCTGACCGCTTGCACAAGCGTGCCACTGGTAGGGGCCGAAACGCGTACGCCAGTTAAACGGCCTTGAAAGGGCAGCCCGGGCCCCGAGTCCGACCCTGAGATTCAAGATCCAGGTGTCCCTTATCCCAGCCACAGAAGGGACGGTCCTTTAACAGCACCTGCGGACGCACGTCCGGGAGAAGGCGCCCGCGCCCCAGCTCCTCAGTTCTTCCCCGGCGCTCTCGGCGGCTCGGGCCGCGGCTCTCCCCGGCCCCGCCGGCCCCCGCCTCTAGTGTGTGTTCTCGGCTCCGTGGCGCCGCTCCGAGTCCTCAGAAGGCCACCACGGCTCGCACCAGCACGCTGAGCATGCTGTCGGCCGGGCGGCAGGCCGGCGTGGCCTCGCACGTGGGGGGCGCCGGCGGGGGCACGGCGGGCCCACAGTTCAGCAGACTGGAGAAGCGCCTCTGCAGGACGCGGGCGAGGTTGGGGAAGGCGCCCTCGGCGGGCGCGGGGGCGGGCTGCGGGAGGCCCGGGCCCTCCGACGGCGCCTCCCTCCCCGCCTCTTCCAGACGCGCTTTCTTGCTCGGGGCCGGTCCGGCCTCGGCGCCGTCGCTCAGGCTGCTGCTGCTCCGGCGCTTGCGGCTGCCCCTGGCGGGGGTCGGGTCGCCGCGCGCAGGGGGCTCGGGGACCGGCGGCGCTTCCTCCTGCGTGTCCATGGGCTCCGCGGGCTGCTCGGCGTCGGGGCGCGCTGCTCTCGCTGCAGCTCCGGCTTCCCGCGGCGGCTGCAGGCGCGGGTCAAGGGCTCTGCCGGGCGGCGGGAACTCGGGCTGGTGGGCGTCTACCTTGGCCGAGAGGTAGAGCTCCCGAGCGCTGCGCATGACGAGCGACAGCTGCAGGCTCCGGTGGAGGCGCAAGCCGCCTCGCTGCATGCGGGAGTGGTACATCTTCCACACCGACAGGGTCATGATGCGCTGCGCTTCCTTCTGGACGTCCATGCTTGTTCGACGGGAGCGTAGAGGAGAGCCGGCAGCGGACCAGACGGGAGCTTCTACCCAGGCCACACGCCCCAAGCGGCAGAAACACTGCTAGACGTCCCGGCGGGGCCAGCGTGCCCGAGCCTCTTCATATAGTCCGGGTGACGTCACGGAGACGCCACGCCCAACCAGAGGGCCTCATCCGGGCTTTCCGCGGTGGCTAGCGACGCCTTAAAGCAATAGGGGTAGATTTACGCCTTGAGGGCTTTAAACCCCGGCAAGGAAGAATTCCCCATGCTCAGCTACAGCACCCTTTGAGACCCTTGGGTTCTGGGCTCTCACACCCAGCAGCGAGCCAGGCGATGAGGCCACCACGAGGAGGGTGATGGGTGCTAACCTTCCCACTGGAGTGGGAGAAACCCGGACTGGGGCACATTCCTCGAGGGCACTGTTCGTCGCTCCACCAACAGCTAATTAATGTTTTCTGAACAGTAAAAACGCCGCTGCTTATTAAGCAGTTACTACACTGTTGAGCTTTCTCTTTTTATTCAGCGTCTCTGATCCCTCACCTTCACTCCGTAGAAGGGACAGTTAAGTTAGGTCTACCTGTTTCCAGATAAGAAAACTGAAGCAGTCACCTGATCAGTATTTACTAAACGAAGGATCACACTCCGACGAAAGGGGCCCTGAGGCCTCCAGACCGTCCCGCTCCACCTTTCCGGACGTGGGTGGAGAGCGCATCCACGCTGGCCGGCCCTGGAGGGGCCACCGTGGCCACCGATATCCACGGCGCGGCTCCTATTCTCATGCTCAGCGTTACACACCTCCAACTTTCCGTAACCGAGCGGCACGGAAGCCCCACGAGCATAGGGCCTGCCGTGCGTCCCCGCCTTGCAGTGCTCTGCCGTCACGTCCCGGGAAAGTGGGTAGATCCCACTTGCTGCCAAGTGTAACGGCCTCAGCTCCATTCCAGGACCCACACGGTACAAGAGATCAGGCACCTACCTGTAAGGCGCCTTCTGATACACACACACACCCACTAAAGATCACAAACATAGAGATACACAAAGAAAAGAGAAGCTCAACCCCGTGCCACATGCCAAGAAGAAACTGATTCTAGTTGCAGTGGGGTAGAAAGTTCTAATATCCTTTCTTTTTTTTTTTTTTCTGCGCTGGCCCTTTAAGGAACACCCCTACACAGGCGGGCAGACTTCCCGCCACTGCAGCGGGCCGACTTCCCTGGCTAAATTTGGATGTGGTGACGTAGGGCGAAGCCGCGAACCACTTCCGAATGCCCATATAAAGATAAGGGCCGAAGCAGCGGGCTTCCGGGGCGGGGCTCCGTCTTAGACCACACCCCCGTCTCTGCTTCTCGGAGCCCTCAGGCACTCGGACGCTGTGCCGGGGGTTCGCGTGTGGTCGCCGGTGCCATTCTTCCGTGTCCTTCACAAGGCCAGTGGCTCCTACTCTCCTGCTCTCGCAAGCTGAGGCACCGTCACGCGGGATGAGCCTGGGTGGAGTGAGATTCGCACCTCGTGGGGTTACGGGAAAGCCTCTTCGAAACCCTCCCTGCACTTGCAAGTGTACAGGGCAAAGTACTGGGTTCTGGGTCTGTTCCCTCCCCCCACCTTCCTGGGGAAGCTACCCCGTACTCAGGCGTGGTGACACGCCCTCTACCCTGTGAGCCGTCTTGCCGGCCTTTTATTAATTTTTGGTGTTTTGAAACAGGGTACCGCTTGGATAGTTTCAGCTGTCCTCGCCTGCTTCTGCCTCCCAGTGCTTTTCTTTTTTTAATTTTTCCTGCTTGCCTGCCTGTGCCAGAAGAGGGCGTCGGATCTCCAGACACTGGGTCCGTCAAATGGGTGCTGGGAACCGAACCTTCATGAGAACAGCAAGCGATTTTTATTCTGTTGGGTTTTTGTTTGTTTTGAGACAGCGTCTCACTAGCTCCAGCTGTCCTGGAACTTACTACGTAGACCAGGCTGTGCCTCCCTGATGCCGGATTAAAAGCGTGAGCCACCATGCTCAGCTACAGCAGGTGCTCTTAATTGCTGAGCTAAGTTTATGCATCTATAGAATGAGTTCCTAACCTCGCTGTCATACCATAAGATTTGCGGAAAAGATTATTGATATTAGTTAAAACAAACAAACAAAACCAACTGAAGTTCCACAGCTGCAGTCTGAGGTCTGACCCCATTCTGTAGGAGGCTGAGGGTGAGGCTGGGGCACTGGGCGCCCACAACCAAGATGGCCAAGGTGCAGGCGGAAGTCTACACCCTTAGGGCTTCTAGGGCCGCTCTCTCTCTCTTGGCGGCCAGGCTCTCGATGGTGCCCTACCAGACGTGAAGGTGGCAGTGCCTTCCGTCCTCTGTTAGTGAAGGAGCGCTCCTGCATCCGCCAAGTGGCGGTTCAGGCTGTGGAGAGGAGGGGTTGATATGTCTCTCCAGGATCCTTTCTTTAGTCCGAGGGTGAGTGACAGTGGCGGGAAAGTGAGCCATATGGTGGCTAGCCAATACCAAGTTGCAGGTCAGTAATTGCCAGGCAATTTGGGTTCGCCTGTCTGGGTGCATGGCTCTTTTTGTGGTGAAGTGAAAGGATATTCGGAAGGTATTGAGGTGTCTGGATCTGGGCCCCTGTCGGTTTGGGGGCGCATGTAAGGACCCCTGCCCCGAATCTTGCTCGTTGTGTACTCGCAGCGAGGTGCAGAAAGCGGTGAAGGCCGGTTGGCGCCAGCTCCTGCAGGTAGGCTCTGTGGTGGGGAGAGGAGAGCGCGAATGGTCCGGCAAGAAGCTGCGGAATAGCCTTGGAAGTATGAGTGGACCTTGAGGACCTAGCAGAAACGGTCATATCCTGGGACTTTCAAGATGTGGCATGGCAGGGCATCTGGCCGTGGGGGGCCAGCCCATTAAGGAAGTGTTAAGGGCCGGAGGAACGGTAAGGCCAGAGGTTTTATGTCTCTGGCCTTGACCTTTGACTCAGCACATGCACAGCGAGGCTAATCCAGTCAAATTCAAGTACTCTCTGCTTGAGACTTGCAGGCAAGAAAGGATGTGGGAAGCAGTACAGGTGAGGTGATGTCCTAGTGGGGAGTGTCTTTTGAGACTGGGTACAGATGTGTTTTGGTTTTGAGACAAGGTTTCACTGTAAGCTGGCTGGTCTGGAACAAGAGATCCCCCTACCTCATGCATGTTGGGATTAAGTCGTGCAAAACCACATTTAGCTTGTAATGTTAATCTTCATCTACAGGGAATGAAGGACCACAGGGTCAACCCAAAAGCTCTGGCCTTCATGGAGAATCATACAGCCCAAGTATCAGCAGGTGTTGCTGTCAGCCTGACCCTGTGTATTGTCTGCATTTGTGAACCTGCCCTTCTGTGTCAGTGTCTAGTCTTTGTGGGTTGTTTGGTTATCTACCTTCCTCTTTACAGAGGTTTACACCTAAGCCCTCAGTGCCTAAAAACATTTGGAAGTAAGACTTTTTATTGATGAGTTGATTGGTCTCTTCAATGTTCTCGAGACAGTTGGTAATTACTAGTTTATTAAACTAGTAATTAAACAATTACCAGTTTATTAAAATTACTAGTTTATTAAACTAGAATTAAACAATGAATACATGGGGGTCATCTAGAGATAAGCAGAGTGGGCTTAGTGTTTTATGCCTCTGACTCCAGAGTCCAGGAGGCTGAGGCAGGACTTCAGCAAGTTCCAGGCCAGAACTACATAGTGAAAACCCATCTCAAATGAACTAAAAATTAATGTTAAACTTGGTGAGGTGGGTCATGCCACCTCCTGGATTATAATCCAGGAATCTGAGGAAGCTTGGAAGTTCTATGCCAGTCAGGCCTAGGTAATTTTAATTTTTTATATTTGCTTCTTTATATATTTATTGGGTAGGTGCATGTATGGAGGTCAGAGGATAACTTATGAGAGTTGATTTTTCTTCTTCCACCATGTGGATCCCAGGGATTGACCTCAGGTTGTCAACCTTGGCATCAACAGCTATCTTCACAACCGGGTGGCATGCACCTTTCTCTGAGTTCAAGGCCACCCTGGTCTACAGATGAACTTCCCAGACAGACAGAGCTACACATGGAAAACTTAAGAAAACAAAACAAAAACCCTCCCACATCTTGCTATGTTGTACCACGAAACACCTTCTACTCCACCCATAGCGCTGCCAACTAATATCCCAGCATTTGCTATATATTTATCTGTACCACTAGTGTTGACAAGCTTTGGCTGTTTTTTGAGTGGCTTTTCTAGGCTTCCTGTTTGCTCTCTCAGGGCTCAGAAGGAGCATGTTAGGAATTCAAATGCCAGGAAAAAAAAAAAAAAAAAAGAGTATTTTGTTCTATCTATCTCTAGATATATATATATATAAATAAATCTGCTAGTGCGTAGGCATGTGTTCCATGGCATGTGTAGAGGTCAGATTGCAACTGTGATGTTCTCATGGGTCCTGGGGACCCAGGTCAGGAGACTAGACTTGCACAGTAAGTACCTTCTTCTCATGAGCCATCTCACTTGCCCCAAGCCTTTGTTTCTGATGACTTTTCACCATACCAAAATAAAAGCTCCTGGTTTCAGTGAAAACACATGGGATTCGGTCACAACTCCTAGGCCAGCCTAAGCCATGTAGGGAGCTGTCTCATAAACCACAAACAAAACTAACCTACTAATCTAAGGTGGTCCTGGTAAATCAAGACCTCAATGTTCAACGGGGGTGTTTAATCACAGCACTTGGGGAGGCAGACGCGGAATGATTTTGAGTTTGAGGCCAGCCTGGTCTACAAAGTGAGTCCAGAACAGGACACACAGAGAAACTGTCTTGAACCCACCCTATCCCCAGAAGACCTTAAAGTTCACTCTCTTCCTAAGAATATACCTCCACAGACACATACTTCACAGAGGGAGTGGGGCTTGGGCTAGTCTTAAGGCACAGTGAAGGCCAGTGGCCCGATGAGACATAAGAGCTAAACCACTCAACTTCCTTTTTATACTTTTATGGAGCCCAGGTTACTCTCAAACTTGCCATGTAACTCAACTCCCAATCCTCTAACTTTCAATCCCTCTGGGTATGAGCTATCACCAGTTCTTCACGCTTCTTTGTACTTTT